AGGGTGCGCGCGTGTGTGCACGTCTTCCCTTCCGCAGTGCCGATCGGCGTGCCCTTGCCATCCCCTTTGTGAACCGTGCGACTAGGGGCTGCACGCGCCAGGCTCGTTGTCTCCTTTACCGGGGCCCTGGATGGCCGTGTGCGCTCGGCTGATCTGCGCTCCGTCGCCTTTTTTTTTTCCTCTCACCTACGGTGCAGATGGCTTTGATTGCTTCGGAGCCTGGACAGAAGCCCTGCGTGGGCCAGGGAAGGGGCAGATTAGATGGGCGCATGTGCGACGGCGAGGGCAGTGCTAACCTGCAAGAGACATCCCCACTCGGTGGCCCGAATTGTCCCCCTCCAGCCTCCGTTGCATTTTATTTTCGCGCGCAGTAAACATCAGACGACCTAGCGTTCGAAGGGCGATGCTGGTTCGGCATTCAGGCCTCTGGCATTTTACCTTTTCATCGGCGAACATCACCATGGCACCACAACAGAGCTTTAGACGGAAGGTGCAATTTCAGCCAGATTGCAGCGCTGATAAAAGCAAAACCCTGACGTTTCTCGCATGGAGTCCCAGCTGAGCATGACAAAAAGAGACCTTCTCCCTGCCCCCAAAAAGCTTGTGACCTCATGTTTGCAATGGGGTGGTGGGGGAGAAATAATGCAGTGCAAGTGGCAACAGACAATGCAGCTGTGCGCTATAATTGGCTTCAGAAGGGATTGGGCGTAAGTCGGATTTGTCCCAGGACAGGAAGAGCGGTGGGGATGAGATGAGACATGCATGGGGGGCGTTTTGAAATGCCGCATGTCGGTTCCCTAGTTTTGTGTGTCTGGGGAGTTGCAATCAGGGCAAGGCCAGATCCGAACAAAGTCCGAGGGAGAGAGCAGAGGGCTCTAGTCCAAGCGGGGAGAGTCACTGGCTCTCCTCATGCATTTTTTCATTATGGCTGAACCAGTTGCAGACGGGGAGCCGCCCTTCTGACACACGGGCAAACTTCCAGGTGCCTGAATCGTGCACAGTTGGGTGTTACGTTAGGGCAGGTGAATCACGATGCCCATTGAGTTGCATTGCCTGTCATCCCCTGTGCAGGCCCGTGCGTGTTAAACGCCTGATTGCTCGCACACCCGCTGTGCTTGCCGTGACCTCTGATCCAGCGCTTTCGCCCTTAGCGGTGAGGGATTCCTGAGGATTTGCAGGAGCTAGGCCTGTCCAGCTCGAAGAAAAGGCGCTTGAGAGGGGTACGTGATAGCGGTCTTCAAGTACCGGAGGGAAGGGCTGCCGTAAAGTCGGCGAGCGCCTTTCCTCTCTCGCTGCAGAGAGGAGGATGCAGCCCGACGGCGGCAAGGTCGGTTTCGGTCGGATCTCAGGGAAACGTCTTCGCTGTGGGAGCGGGATAGACGGATGCCCTGGGAAAGTTGTGGACTCCATCACGAGGAGAGGTCGAATAAGCGCCGGCCGGGGATGTTGTAGGCGTAGCGATGCCTGTGTTCCGCTATGGGGATTTCCCCACTTCTGCTGGTTGCCTCCCCCACTTCTGTCGTGTGTGTCGGAGGGATTTTTAAGCCTTCCTCAAAGCCGCTGGGTGCCAAGGCCAGGGGTAGTGACTGGGCTGTGCCCATGCTCCTGCTGGGACTTGAAAGCTGGAGGGTCCTGGCTAGAGGGTCTGGCACCTCTGCTCGGGGTCAGACCAGTTGCCATATTTCGGTCAGGAAGGAATTGCAGATTGGTTGGGGGGGGGGTTGCCTTCCTCTATAATGGGATGATGGAGTTGGGGCTGGTCCTGCTTGCAGCAGGGGGTTGGACCTCCTGAGGTCCCTTCCACCCCCATTTTCTATGATAATGGGGGACGTGGCCTTTTTCCTGGGATCTCTGGAGTGTATTTTAACCATCTTTTATAGAAGCAGGACATTGACTGTTGTCGTCCCCCTGCTTCACTTGTGACAGGTGTGGGGTGTGCTGACTGGTGCTGTAGTTTTACTAAGGGGTTAGATGATGGATTGCATGGGATGGCGTGGATTGGGATGATCCTGCCTCAGGCCGGGGGTGCCTTCCAGCCCCACTTCTCTACGATTTCTGTGAGTCTGTATTAGCCTGCAGGCTGGAAGGGGGTGAGCTGTTAGGGCCACGAGGCTTGAGTGAGAGGCAAGGCACCCTGGTTAATAAAGAGAGGTCTATAGACAGCCCAGCAAATTTTTTGTAGCTCAAATTGTGCTGGGATAACGTTGTCCTCCGATGTATTTGAGTGTCTGATGATGATTAAAGCTGAGGATCTGAATGCTTGCCCTGATACATGCTGTACTCTTTCTCCCCAGACAGGCCGGAGGGTCGGGCAAGCCTGCCTGGGGCAGGGTCCCAGCTCTGCAGCCTCAGGACCTGATCCGGAGAGTTGCTCTCAGGATTGTCTCTGATGGAAGTGACTGACATGCAGTACCATTTCGGATTAGGCCCTGGCCCTGCAGGACTCTCTTTCTCGCTCTGTCCTTGACCTTGCCCCTAGGTTAGGGGGTCTGTCTGAATCAAGGCTGGTGTAGCTTCCCCCCTCAACTCTCACAGAAGCCTAAACTGCAGCCTACCTGAGGATCTGAGCCATTAACTCACGTTGCTTGTATTTAGTCTGACAATGCAGAGTTTGAACCTGGGGTTTTGGGTGTGAGAGGTCACGCGCTGACTTGCTGCACACCTTGGCCTTTTGCATTGCTTGGATCTGCTGTGGCCACCTGCACTGGGGAGTCCTCCCGTGGGAGAAGGGGCACCCGTCAAACAGTGGCTTTCTGCTTCTAGGTCCAGCAACATGTTTCAGTTACCGCTGCCTCTGGATCGAGATGGGATCCTGTTTCGACTTCGCTTTACCACCCTGGCGGTTGGGACCGTGTGTTGCCCGCTGTTTGGATTTCTTTTCTGCGTGATCTGGTCTCTGCTGTTCCATTTCCAGGAGACGACGGCTACACACTGTGGCGTAAGTGTCTGCACCAGGTTACAGACCCTCTAATCCCTCATAGAGGGAAGTGCGTTAAAGGTATGGCTGCTAGGATTGGTGGTGTGGGCTACTGGTTAGAGCAGGTGGCTGGGCATCTGGTGTCATGCCTGTTTTTCCTGGCCTTCCCTGCTGATTTGCCGTGTGATATCAGGCAAGTCACTCCCTGCTTTTATCAGTTTCCTCATCAGCGAAACAGGAATAATTATGTCCTCTGTACTATGCATTTTTCATTCTTGTTAGTAAGCCAAGGAAATACAGTAGTTTAACCTAGTCTGGAAGGTGGATACATAAGTGGTTGGATCATCATGCTGCAAAGAGCAGCCCCCGATAACTCACTTTAATTGGGAAGTGATATTGAGGGGGGTGTTCCCAGGGGTCTGTGCATGCCTGGTATTGTTTGATATCTCCATTCATGCCTTGGACCTGACACCAAGTCAGGTGGAGCTGCAGAAACTTTGGAGGGATTTAGGATCCAGAATGACCCGGGTAGACTGGAGCAATGGTCTGAAAGCAATCGAGTGAAATCCATTAAGGACAAGCACAAAGTCCCGCACATAGGAGGGAAGGCTCTCATGTACAGATACAGGCTGGGGAGTGACTGGCTAGGCTCCAGATTGCAGACAAAGATTTGGGGTTCACTGTGGACCAGAATCTCAATGTGAGCCAGCAGCTCTGGTTGCAAAATAAAAAAAATAGTCAATAGCACACTGGCCTATATTAATGGAATAGTTTCTTGCAAGTCCAGGGAAGTGATACTTCTTGTCTGTTTGGCATTGGTGCGGCCTCCCTTGGAGTATTGTGTCCGGTTTTGGGCACCGCATTTCAAAAAAGATGGGTGCAAATCAGAAAGCATCCAGTGGAGAGCAGCACAAGCGATTAGAGGCCTGGGAAACACAGTAAAAAAAATTGGAAACACTGGGATTATTTAGTCTGGATAAAACGGACGTGATAAGCCTTCAAATACTCGAAGGGTGATTTTACAGAGCATTGGGATGGACTGTTCTTTGTGGCTGCAGGGGATAGGACAAGGAGCAATGGTTTCACATTGCAGCAGGGGAAATTTAGGTTAGAGATTAGAAAGAGCTTTCTCACTACAAGGGTGGCGAAGCATTGGTATCAGATACCAAGAGCGACTGTGGCGTCTCTATCCCTGGACTTTTTCCAGAGCAGGTTAGACCGACATTTGGCTGCACTGGTTTAGCAGGGGGTTGGACTAGAAGACCTGGGGGTCTTTCTCTATGATTATAAAAGGTAGGGCCTGATCCTGTTCCACCTGTTATGTGCTTATGTGCACAATCCTCATTCACCTGAAAAAGACCTTCAACGCACCTAAGTTTGTAACACGACTTCCTCTTCCCCTCAAGACCAAGTCACAGAAAACAGCAAGCAGGAGGACCAGCCAACTTTTGTATAATGGCTTCTCAGGGATTTGAGCAGAGTGGAACAGGATCACACTTAGGCACCTAAGTCCATCTGGACACCTAATAAGTAGGACAGGATCTGGCCTGTAAAAGCTTAGAGAGCAGTAAATGAGACCTTCTAATACAAGAATCCTGATGTCTGGTCCACAAACCGTTGTTTCTTCCCTAGGTCTCAAATTACCTGCCCTCCGTCAGTGCAGCTATCGGAGGTGAGACCCCTCAGCGTTACGTGTGGCGTTTGTGTATCGGCCTCCACTCGGCACCGCGCATCTTGGTGGCCATCGCATACTGGAACCACTACCAGAGTTGCCACTGCACGCACCCTCGCTACCTTCGGCTCTGCCGCTTCAACTTCGGGCTCAATCTGCTTGAAAACATTGCTCTCCTCCTTCTGACGTATGTGTCCTCATCCGAAAATGATGGTAGGTTTCTCCCTTCTCACAGCAAACGTGCACGCACACACGCACATTCCCTTAAAATCAGCCGTTCATGTCACCATAATAAGAGTACCTGGATCTTGTATTGAAGGCATCTGTCACCAAGGCATTCTGCACGCATGAATTAGTCAAGCCTCATAGTAGGAAGCCAGTGTTAGAGATGGGGTTTGAATTTGAGGCTTCTTAGCTCCTGTCCCTGCATCCAGACTATGTCTTAGCCCTGTGGCGACCCTCTTCTGAAAATGAAAATTACCCTCTCCTGCTGCCGGTAGGGTGGGGTCTTCTCTTCTAGCTCCCGTTCTAGCGTATGTTTTAACTTTAGCTTGAATAGTTTGCTTTTGGGATGAAATTTCCCATGTTAGTCTTCAGGCGAAGTTAAAGTGAGCTTTGTTAAGACACTTTGTGCAGTCTTAAAGCATGGTGAGCCTGGGGATGTATTTCTGTTTTTTCTCATCACAAGTGTTTAGAAGTGGTAACATGTTGCTGACACAGTTAATTCTCTGATCTAGGCTCAGCAGTTATGTGCATATCTAGACTAAACTGTGGCTGTCCAGGGCTAGTGCAGTAGGCTTCTTAGTTCGGGGAGAAAGAATGTTTTTTTCGCGTTACTCAGGTGGAGTCTAAGAATTGAATCTAGACTCATAGAAATGAGGGTTGAAGGGACCTCAGGAGGTCACATCTAGTCCAGCCCCCTGCTCCAAGCAGGACCAGCCCCAGCTAAATCATCCCAGCCACGCTGGGTTGAGCTGAGTTCTTTCTCATTTCATAGGTTTCATAGTTAGTCGGGTCAGAAGGGACCTGAGCAGATCATCGAGTCCGACCCTGCCATGGCAGGAAAAAGTACTGGGGTCAAATGACCCCAGCAAGGTGTTCATCTAACCTCCTCTTAAAGACCCCCAGGGTAGGGGCCAGCACCACTTCTCTTGGAAGTTGGTTCCAGATCCTAGCCGCCCTGACCGTGAGGTCGTGCCTCCTGATATCTAGCCTAAATCTCCCCTCTGCCAGCTTGTGACTGTTATTTCTAGTCACTCCTGGCAGTGCTCAGGGGAACAGGGACTCCCTCAATGCCTGCTGATCCCCTCTGACTAGTTTGTAACAGGCCACTAGATCCCCCTCAGCCTCCTCTTGTGGAGGCTGAACAGGTTCATGTCCCGTCGCCTCTCCTCGTAGGGCCTGCCCTGCTGCCCCTGATCATGCGAGTGGCCTCCTCTGGACCTTCTCCATGTTGTCCACATCCCTGCTGAAGTG